TTATGTGTTATGCAAAAGTCTGTTCTATGACCATTAGAGTTGGAAACATTAGGTATCGATTTTTTACTAGTTATACTATTTTTTACTAGTATACACTAATCAATATACATTTTCATACGGTCGATGATAACTAAAAATCAAATTAGACAAATACAAAATCATGTTTGAAGATAGGTAACTTAGCATTTTATGAATTAGTAACCAGAAATTCTCATTCCTTAATCAATAATAAATTGTAATCTCTTAACATACAGAAAACATCAACCTCTTAAAATGAGATATCTATGAGTCTCCTTTTGAGGAAATGTATTCATTAATTTAATTATTTAATATATGATATTGCATTTGTATTTTTATAATACTTATATTTGTATTTTGATTTTATTAATTACAGATTCAACATATGCCCATAGATCTTGGCTGTCCAATTGTACATGCAAGCTGTGCTGATCCATATGTAGCATTGTTGTCGGAAGATGGTCAAGTGATGTTATTGACACTTAGAGAAGTAAGAGGTACAGCAAGATTGCATGCTCAAGCTGCCAATCTACTGTTTGTAAGTTTATTCACATTTTATAATTAATATTACATAAATGTTTCATACACATACATAAAATATTCTTAACATGTATACAATATGTATGTGTTTAGCGCCCTCAAATAGAGGCATTATGCGCTTATAGAGATGTAAGCGGGATTTTTACAACGCAATTACTTGAAAACGCGGATGAAGAACATACTGAAGAAGAATACAATGTAGAGGAACCGTCTACACTTAGCAATATCGACAATGAAGACGATCTGTTGTACGGCGATGCTCCAGCATTCCAAATGCCTGCACCATCACATTTAAAAGCATCGGATGGCACTATTAAGAAATCACCTTGGTAAAATTTTTATTTAGCTATTCATTATACAATATTTTTCTAAAGTGTTTGGTCAGATTTTATATTTTATTAACTACTTTTTTTTTATTAAATTAGAATATTGAAAAAATAAAATATATATGACTAAATATTTCTTAAGCACATTCTACATCTCTGGTATTAAAAAAATCATGTATTAATACATTTTTATATGGATTTTTATAGGTGGCAAAGGCATTTGCAAGAAATTAAATCTACATACTGGTTACTTGTATACAGAGACAGCGGAACACTGGAAATTTATTCCTTACCTGATTTACGATTATCTTACCTTATTCGTAACTTTGGCTATGGCCAGTACGTGTTACACGACAGTATGGAATCTACAACTTTGCAGTCAGCACCGATCAATGAGATCCCTCATCCTGATATGCAGGTAATTTATCTATAAATGTATCTTTGTAAAAATTCTAAAAATCTTGTGCTTTTCATAATATCTATTTTTGTAGGTTCGTGAAATTCTAATGGTTGCTCTTGGACATCATGGAAATCGGCCGATGCTCTTGGTACGTCTCGATTCGGAATTGCAAATTTATCAAGCTTACAAGTATCCAAAAGGATATCTAAAATTGAGGTTTAAGAAATTGGACCATGGAATAATCCCGGGACGTTTAAGGTTTGAGTAATTCTAATATACATATATATTCATATTCTATATTTTTTAATATATAAAATAACATAATTTATATATATTATATATAGAGCATATATACATATGTATAATTACTATATATAATAATATACATTTGATAATATATTGAAATAAATGTTATTTGCATCAAAATGGAGCATGCTTTTAATTGAATTTCCTTGGCAGTCCAAGACCCAAAGAAGAAGATATTCCAAGGACCAGAAACGTCACTCGCATCTGTGTCATGCGTTACTTTAGTAACATTGCTGGATATAATGGAGTATTTATCTGCAGCGATTATCCACATTGGATATTTTTAACCGGACGCGGTGAATTACGTACACATCCAATGGGCATTGACGGTCCCGTTACATCTTTTGCGCCTTTTAATAATATTAATTGTCCTCAAGGTTTTCTGTACTTTAATAGAAAGGTATGTTATTTTCATAGTATATTTTATAATAAGATAATAAGATAAAACAAAAGATGACACATAGATGTTATTTTCTAGGAAGAACTAAGGATATGTGTTTTACCGACTCATTTGTCGTACGATGCTCCATGGCCAGTTAGGAAAGTCCCTTTGCGATGCACTCCTCATTTTGTTACATATCATCTTGAAAGCAAGACATACTGTGTTATAACAAGCACAGCTGAACCTTTGAAAAGTTACTACAGATTTAATGGCGAAGACAAAGTATTAACACAAAAATATGTTATATTTTTCGATATTTTTCAGAATATTTATCAATATTTATTTATCAAATATCAAAGGTGATTAAAAATTAATATTCATAAATGCGTTTTTTTTTATTAATTAGGAATTTACAGAAGAAGAGCGTCTAGAAAGATTTCTTTATCCGTCTCAAGAACAATTTTCCATTGTACTATTTTCTCCAGTTTCATGGGAAACTATTCCCAACACAAAAATCGAGTTGGATCAATGGGAACATGTCACTTGCTTAAAGAATGTATCTTTGGCTTATGAAGGAACGAGATCTGGTTTGAAAGGTTACATAGTATTAGGAACAAATTATAATTACGGCGAGGATATTACAAGCAGAGGACGAGTAAGTTCTATATTTTATCAAAAATATCTTTAAGCTTTATCAATTTTAATATAATCTTATTTTTTAAATTTTCAGATACTCATATTCGATATAATTGAAGTAGTGCCTGAGCCTGGCCAGCCATTAACCAAAAATAGATTTAAACAGATTTATGCAAAGGAACAAAAGGGACCTATAACTGCTATAACACAAGTATCAGGATTTTTGGTGTCAGCTGTTGGTCAAAAAGTATTATATCCCTGTTTTAGATTTATTTCTATAAGAATTATATCTTTTATAAATATTATTAAAAATTGTTTTATTGCAGATTTATATTTGGCAATTGAAAGATAATGATCTAGTTGGAGTCGCTTTTATCGATACTCAGATCTACATTCATCAAATGCTTAGTATAAAAAGTTTAATTTTAATAGCTGATGTTTATAAATCTATTAGTTTACTAAGATTTCAAGAAGAATATAGGACACTTTCTCTTGTTAGCAGAGTGAGTATAATTTACTAATTTTAAATATACATGAATTACATATTTATGAAAGTTTGCATTTAAAATACATAATTTATTCTATTACAGGATTTTAGACCGGCGGAAGTGTACACAATAGAGTATTTAATTGATAATTCAAATTTAGGTTTTATTGTAGCTGATGGAGAGAGTAATTTAGCTTTATTTATGTATCAACCGGAGTCCAGAGAAAGTTTAGGAGGTCAAAAGTTAATTAGAAAGGCGGATTTTCATCTTGGACAAAAAGTAAATACTTTCTTTCGTATTAAATGTCGGATCACTGATCCAGCAAATGATAAGAAACAGTTTTCTGGTGCTGATAAAAGACACGTTACTATGTATGGTAAGTCCAAATATGTATTTTAAAAATAGTGTATCTTTTTAATGGGATATTTTAAATATTTAAATATTCTTTACACATATATATATATTAGGACCTTGAATAAGTTCTCGCTGTTTTCCAACATATGGTGTTAACAGAACTTGCACTGCGTGCATGTAGTTGAAGACATATCGATAAGAAACTACGATAAGCAAGCTTGAAATTCAGTGTATGTCATCTCGCCGAAGTGTAAACAACTTTTTGTTTCATAGTGTTAAACATGTCGAGTTTTGTGCCAACAAAAGAGTATTTGCGGGGAATTTTATTGCACTACTTTATTCAAAGAAAATTTGCAGCTGAAGCACACAGAATTCTTGTTGAGACTTACGGTATAAACCATGCTCTATCGGAAACATGCAGAGATTGGTTTAGACGCTTCAAAAATAATGATTTTGATGTTGAAGATAAAGCAGAATTGGAGGCATTACTGCATGAAGATTCATGTCAGACGCTAGCTGAACTTGTAAAATCATTAGGAGTTGATTACACAACAGTTTTTAAACGTTTAAAATTATTTTTTTAAATAAAGCATTACTTTTCACGACAAAAACAGCGAGAATTTATTCAAGGTCCTAATATATATATATATATATATGTGCGAATTTATCCTTTTTTAACATTTTAGCATCCTTGGATGGTAGCCTTGGTTATATTCTACCGGTTCCAGAAAAAACATATAGGAGATTGCTTATGTTGCAAAATGTACTAGTTACGCACATCTGTCATATTGCGGGCCTGAATCCGAAAGCTTATCGGCAAGTTTTAATTACAATTATATACAGATATATTTGCTAATTACTTCACTTGCTAATTTAATTAGTAATTGAGAATTTTTTTTTCTTGTATTTAGCACATACAAAAGTTATATACGAAATCAAGGAAACCCGGCAAGAGGCATTATTGATGGTGATTTAGTTTGGCGTTATCTATTCTTACCGAACAATGAAAAAGCAGATTTAGCAAAGAAAATTGGAACGCGAGTTCAAGAGATTATCGAAGATATTATCGAGATCGATCGACAAACGGCTCATTTTTAATTGCAATTGTATTATATTTATGTAGCCAATCTATTTTTTTATATTTTGTATTACTTTTACATTAAATAATGTAAGATATCCTTTGACTATAGCCGTATTTCAATATACATATTGCAATACGGCCCCTATAGAATATGTATGTACATCCTGAAATTATATTCACAGCATATCCTGCAATTGTTTAATTCATGTATCATATTATATTATTAATTGCATCTAAATTATTGCAATTTAATATCAAATAACAATAATTTTTATTATTAAATAATACAGATATAATTTATCAAATTTTATTATATTTTATAAAAATTGGTAATATATTTATAATAAAATTTTTTGCCATATATATATATTATATATATATATATATATATATATAAGCTCTAAAATTTATGCAAAATTAAATAAATAATAGAAATTATTTGCATTACTGTAAAAATATATCTTCCTAAATGAGACGACGATCTACGTTGCCCTCATTATCGCCTGGAAAGAGTATCACTGAAAGACGGTTAACTTTACGAAGAGAAAGTCCAAAATGTACGTACTAGTTAAAGATTTTGTAATTAATGTACAAATGTAAAATAAAATTGCTCAATTTTTTTAAACAAATATATGATTTATGTAAAGATAATTATGTGAGAAAGTTTTATTATAGACTAAGATTTCACAGATTACGGTTTCATATTACTTATTGATCAAACAATTCTTGAAACCTAATCATATAGAGTTCCTTGAAAATTATTCTTTATTCTTTATTTCCTTCAAAAAATTAAAAAATTTGATTTTCTAAGACAACAGTAAGTATATTTCAATGTTAATGTCTGTACTAATTTAATCATATTTAACAATTTTTGTATTATGTACTTAGTGGCTGTTGAACCATCATTGTTAGAAAGAAGACTTTACGAAGCATTTGATGTGTTTGATAATGCTAGAAGTGGAGAGGTAGATGTTAGAGATTTGGGAACTATAATTAGAGCTTTAGGTAATGTTCACAATACAAATTTCTAATAATTGTATATATATTTTTTATAAAATAGATACAATTAAAATTTTATTATATTATTTAACAGGATGTGTTATCACAGAAGCTGAGTTACAAGAAATACAAGTAGAAGTTGAAGATGTTGAAAATAATTGCGTACCAGTAAATAGATTTGTAGAATACATGAGCAAGGCAATCAATGAACGCAAGTGTGTTTAAATAAAATCTTTTCCATTATAAAAAAAAGTAGCAAATGCATGATCAGAAAGGGATAATATAATAATTTATACTTACTCGGTACCTAGATTCAAACCAGCAGAACCAGAAGAATTATTGAAAGCGTTTCAATTATTAGATCCTGAAAATCGCGGATATATCATGAAAGAGGATTTAGAAAAATCAATTATGGAAATTGGGGAGCCATTTACAAAAGAAGAAGTGGCCGATATGATGGCTGTAGCCTGCGACACGGAAACTGGAAAAATTAATTATGAACATTACATCAATTTGCTGATAGTGTGTAAAAATATAGATTTATTCTAATATTGCTAAAATTTCTTTCGACAAAAGTTTACATTTTATTTGAAAGATTTGTCGTGTTATTAAATTTATCATTTGAGATCTTCATCCAAGATATAAAAATTATAGGTAAAAATTCCTGAAAACATTAATGTATATAATATTGTGGATGAAATGGAAGCTGCAAAATTGGCAGAGCTGCCTGTAAAGCATAAATGGGAAAGAATTTTATTTCAGCGAGATAGTACCTAACATAGAAATATATATATATTATTTCAGTAAAAATAATTTTCATGAAAGGGAGATATATGATATCAATATAAAAAAAAAAGTTAAAATCTGTGATTAGAAAAGTTATTCTATATTTTGTAATATATATATAATATATATCCAAAAAATACATATATCCATTTTTTTAATCTAACATTAATATAAAACATTAATATAAATAATATATGAAATATCGATGGTAACACACATTGGAAGTATCAAGAATATTAAAATCCAGAATAAAATAATTTATAACTTTGAAAATATTGGAGGGTCACCTTTAACAGCCTGTGCCATAGCTGCATTCAAAAAATCTTCACTTTGAAGCATTGCCCTATTATGCATTGCCTGTGGAAACAAATACCAAAAATATACTATTGAAACAACTTTTCAAGTATAAGGAATTATTTCATGTGTTATTTATTTATAGTAAACAATAACTAAATTTTTATTGCATTTTAGGTGGAATAATCAGGAAAAAAGTACTCACAATATGATCTAATCCCTCTTGGACAGAATGATCTCTGGAATATACCAAGCTCATTTTTGAACCTTGCACTGCAACTGGACTCTTGCTTGCAATATCTTCAGCAACTTCTATTGATTTATTCAATAAGCTAAATAAAGAATACAAATGTCATTTTTAAAATTCACATCGTTCTATTTGAACAATCATTACAAACTTATTATTTCTTGTTTCAGTGTATTTGTTTTCTTACCTCTCCTCGTCATCTAACATGCGGCTTATGAACCCACTTTCTAGTGCTTCAGCAGCTGGATACTTTCGCGCTGTATAGACGAGCTCTCTTACCAAGCTGTCAGATCCTACAATTTTTGGAAATCTCTGAAGCGTACCTACATCGGCTGCCATGCCTATATCAACTTCCTTTATTTGAAAATATGCATTAGAAGAAGCATAACGTATATCAGCTGCGGATATCATGTCCATGCCTGCACCAATGCATGCTCCGTGCACAACAGCTATCACAGGTTTTGAGCACTGTTAAAATTATTCTGTGTCGTTAATTTGATCATACAAGTTAAAGAGACATAACGAAATATTTTCTTGGTGAAAACTAGAATGTATAGAAAATGCACAAATCATACTTAATATACCTTTATAAATTACATTAATTATCTGTGTGAATAACAAATTACCTTTTCTATAGCAGTAAATGACTCTTGATAATCCTTAATTTTAGACTCCAATAATTTAGATCTGCGTGCAATATCCTCGTGTTCTATTAAACTTTGACCCATTTCCATCACTCCTTGCAAATCAATTCCTGCAACATCAGATTGTGAGATTATAAAATAAATTTTTTTTAGTATTTTTATTAAATGAATAGGTATGTATATAATACTTGTTATATTTATTTTACTAATTTACCTGCACAAAATGTCTTGCCAGCAGCTGACAGGATAATTACTCTACAATCTGGATTCATTGACAATCCCTCAAAACATTCTTTAAATTCTCTAAATGAAAATAATTTGTAAAAATGTAAGAGTTTTTTTACAGTTCAATAATGAAATGACAAGACTGATAAGAGATCACCTACTTCCACATAGTTGAGTTCATTGCATTTAGTTTCTCTGGCCTATTCAGCTTGACCATGTAAACAAATGGTTTTGGGATAGTTATCACTAACGTTTTATATGTCGGTGACATCTCCATAGAATATCTCATTGCAGAAGCAGCTTGTAAATCTATAAGTATCAGTATATATACAATAAATACAATTATCGCATAATAGCTAGATTTCTATAACTAAAATTTAAAAATTATTTAATATAAAAAATATAATAACTCAAAGAAGAAACATTTGATTACATAATTAATTAAAAATCTACATATTATTGAGAATTTTTTAAATAATATACTAGATTTAAAAAAAAAAACTTAAACAGAAATACAATTTATGACATTAAAATCACTCTAAAATTATCACTAAATATAACTTTTCAGTTATTTATGATTTTAATATTGATATATTGTGACTTCTGATTAGGCAAGGATAGTAATTAAGTATCTATGTAACTTACATTTTCCAAATGATCCCAAACTATTCTTGACGATATTTATTGCCATGTCCTAAGTGTTCAACAAACAGACATGAAGTACAATAAAGTATAAAGCTAAAATAAAAAGTACAAAGTACAAAGTGCAAGTATATTTATATACAAATATGCAGTGATACTGGTACACGTTAATCAATTACATATTTCGATAAAAAGTGAGAATCATTACGTGGGCGTCGTCATACTGAAAATTAAACACTAGTACAATGCAAGGCTACGTTCGAAAATACTACCCGAGTGCCTCCGAGTATCATTTTATCTTTGTTGTTCATCCGAATATCAAACAAAGACAAAATGATACTCGGGGATGCTCAAGTAGTGTTTTCGAACGCAGCCTAGGAACTTAATATCCAGTTTTTCATTATCTGGTTAACTTGTGGTTAAACTTAACCTGATGTTTTACCCAATAACTTTAAAATTCATTTTTGACATTATTATAAGTAAAACCTATTAGATGAAATATCAGCTTAAGCCTAACTATATAAGTTAACCGGATAATAAAAAACTGGACCTAAAAGTCTTTTTGTATATCAAACTTTGTAAAATAGTCCACGTTTTCATGGTTCTCTTCTATACTATTAAGTCGGAATCATGGCCTCTGCCTCTACACGCTGGACTGGACGTGGAAACATTTTTACCGCGTGCGGCAAAATGTGACGCGGTAGCCAATAAGCTTACAGCTGCTAAAAATGTTCATTAGTTACCTCGTCGCATTTTGCCATGCGGGGTCTACAATAAAAGTCGCAACTTTTATAGGGTCTTAATAAGTCATAAACAATTGATCAATCATAATCAATTAATCTTCTTACATTCAATTGTAATTGATTAATTTTCTACGACTTCTATTGTAGACCCCGTGCAAGCATTTCCGCGTTCAGTTTGCAGAAGCCATCAGACTACACTGTATATACACATTAAAGATTGAACAATTGAAATTTGACCAATTAAAATAAAAAATAAAAAATTCTTTTGTCCTTATTGATCAAATGTCAATCTTTATAAACCTTTTGCTACATTCTTCGTAGCTCGAGCATGACCAGTCAGAAGAAAGAATTTTTCAAATGACCAATCAAAAAATGTTTTAAAGTATTTGCAGCATCGTATTGAACGTACTCTTAAGCCTATTTTACAAAGGGCTTTATGCTTCAATGCGTGGTTTGATTCCGGCTTTACGTGGGTTTAGAATTTTAGATCATAATTAAGTGTACGGACTCTGTAGATGTGTTACTCAAGATGTCATGAACCAATCAGAGAGCCTTATTATTAGCGTCTGACTATTTAAATTTACAAACAGACTATGCCTAACGACTTAAGTGTGAATTAAGAAACTGATAATATATAGACATATTAAACTTGTATATGCATTTAAAACTCAATATATATAAAACTTAATTTTTTTAATTATGATTTTTATATGTTATCGTCCAAGTTTGATACATAATAAATAGAGATAACTGAAGAAAAAAAAAAGGTAATTTTGCGACAGTACATAAGATATTATAATAAGTATACATGGACTATTTATATAATAAAAAATTGTGAATACATAACAATGTATTAACAAAATTTTTGTATACGTTAATAATCGCAAATTTATATCAATTGTCGGTAATGTAAGATTCTTCAATTACCTTCAAATCCTCGGGAACTCTTTTTATAAAATTTGGCCAGGGATGATGTACGTAAATATCTATTGGAGATAAATAAAAGTGAAAAAGTAAGCGCATAAAGCTTTTCCTAAGATTTCGTTAACACATGAATATTAATATGTATAATTATAATGATATGCAATCTTCATGAAAACTAATCTTTAAATTTGATGAAATTAGTGTTGCCATGTAGTACAAAATTTGGTTCACAAAATTACATGGGGTGCGTTCCACTTAAAGTTTGCAGTGCTCGCATACATTATTATTTCATCTTTGTTTAACATTTGATGTCAACAATGATTTTGGCCCCTCTGAATCTTACAAAATTAGTGAAAAAAGTTGTTCCTTGGAATCTAAAAATAAAATAGTAAAAATAGTTTTATATCTCCTAAAACGTGGAGAAAGTAGATCTTTTTTATATTATTATATCATATCTCTTTTGTGTAAGCCAAATTTGTGTATATCATAGAATTTATCATGAATCAAACGTATTACAAAAGTTAATGCATAAACAATATCGAATATTTGGTCCTGAATAGTTTCGGGTTTCAAATCAAGAATTTTATCCTGAAATTCGGGTATCCGGATATTCGAGACACGTCCGACTCAATCCGATCATTTTACCCGATCCGATTCGTATTTTTAGGTACTTGTATACTTTTGGTATATATATGTCTATACTTTGGGTACGTTCTGAGTTATTCATGAAACACATAATATAATATATGATTTATCTCTATATTGTTTACTAAATAATAAAGAAGGATAAAATATGATTATCATGCGCTTTATCTGTAAAATAAATTTAAAACACATCTTTTGTGATTGTATCTCATATATGATTTTATATACATTTTTTCTTTAACTTTATATATATATATATAATATATCTGTCAGCTAAAGTTCTTTTATATATATATATATATAATTTTATTTTATAAAAATATTTTATACATAAATATAAAAATGTACGTTTAAAATTTTAATATAATTTAAAAAATATTTTTTTATGGTCACAAGATAAATAAAAATTAATTCAATGATTGTTCATAATCTGGAATGAGCTCTCTATGACAGATGGAATATCAACCATCCTTCTGTATTTCTATTTCTACACGTTCTTTTCGTTCGCATTTTTACTCTAAAGAATACTTAAAATTGAGCCGAAACATGTAAAAATATATTAACTCGAAATATTATATTTAGTTAACAAGTTTTTTAAAAATATTATCTTTTTTTATTTTTGCTCATCATTTTCACGTGCGACTTCTAGAAACTCTTTTTTATTTAATTTTTGTCAATAATTGTTGTAATTTTTATTGGGAACTGATAATATTACTGCAACATGCAATGTTGCAGCAATGTTGCTCTAACTTTTATACTGTAGGGTGAATTGTGATTATCGTAATATCTTCGATATTATAATCTTTTTATTATATATTTATGCATGATATTTCATAACTTCGAAATATTAGAACAATGATAGCGCAATTTTAATTTCAAAAATTTTAAAAAGTCTGATTTCTTTATTTCTTGGAGATTTAAGAGATATTCAATTTTATAAAGGACTACTATACATTTTGTTTTTAGTTTATTTGATACAAAAACCTAAAATTCTAAATATTTTTAAGTTCGAAACTTAGATTTGAAGAGAGAGAGAGAGAGAGAGAGAGAGAGAGAGAGAGAGAGAATCTATTTTACTTCAATTATTATATTTTCTATCATTTTGTGTTGCATTCATGATGTAATAATTATCGTTTTAATTTTAAACCACATAATTTTGTAATAATTATCTTTTAATAGCTTTGCAAATATGTAGTTTAACACGTATATTTTTAGAATTTAGAGACGATTGTATCTCGGAATTATATACATTATGCATCTAGTGGAGATTGAAATGTCATCGCTCTTCAAACGAAGTGATGAAAAGTTGGAAGAAGAAAATATACGGGTGGAATGAAAAAAGGACAAATACCAGCGGAATGTCCAGTTTTTACGTGGCAGTTACTTATCGTAAACGAGCTAAGATTCTCATATAGAATAGCGGAGAGATTTTTCGATCCTCAGTCGCGATTGCTTCCAAAGATAAAATGCAATGCTCATCATTCTCGAACAAATGTAATTGCGATGCGGCAGCTATAAACTCTTCATAATTTTATCGGCTATTTATTCGTAATTCGTTACATTTGTTTTTATATTAATTATGAAATTGTTTATTCACGCCTGTCAGTTTCTTTGATAATTTGTAAAATTATTTTACTGTATTTTCATCGTAAGCATAGTTTGCTTTAAAATTCTTAAAAATAATAAAAAATAATAGAACTTTTGTCTTTTATATTAAATTTATCAATTCCTATAAAGGCTGAAATCTTGCAAACATTTATAGCGCAATTTAATTTAATTTATTATGCATTACCTTATAAAAAAATGTACAATTATTAATAAATGAGTCTCCGTAATCATTTATGCAATTCTTCTATAATATTACTGAACAGGAAGCTGTATTGTATTACGCTAATTATTACTCTATTTCTAAATCTATTATCGTCGTTCGTTTATTCTTGTGTTAATTATTCTGAACGCTATTATATGAACGCTAAAATAGCGCGAATAATGACGCGTTAAAGAATACTTAGTTTCTCGAATGTAGATGGCAAAGTTTATCAACTGTCATGTCTACACGAAAAAAAACACCAACCTTGGGTGTGATGCCCTTTTTCTATCTTACACTTACAAAGAACAAATGTCAGTCAGTTTTGAAATCGACGTACAGAATCTTAATGACGTCTCGTCATATTCGACATCGAGCAACGGCGGACTTAGTTAAACCTCTGATCGAGCATCTCAAGTGAAACAGAATATATATACTGTATACTTTAAATAAATTATTTAGTTATGAAATCATTTTACGTACTATTATTGATTATGTAACTTTTAATTCATTTATTAATGGTTATACAATAAAATCAGAAACAAAGATACAAGTGCACTAACAAAATGATTTATGTGAATTCATTATTTATTTTATATGAATTTATTACTGATTTTAAACGTGTTAATAATAGTAAATTTAATCTTGCCGAAAATTTTGGTCGTAATTATTTTGTACATTATTTATTTTATGATCATTAAACAGATGTTTTTCGACGCACAAACTGGTGACGTGCAACTTGTTATTAATTAAACTATGTGTTTAATGTATGAATACAATACATAATTAATAATTTATTTTATTACAATAAAAATATATAATGTATAATCGATAGAAATAATATGATTCTTTTTAACAAGTTAATGCAAAACTGATGTGCATATTTGAATTTTATACTGTGACAGTATTTTTTATAACATAAAATTTGCCAAATTTTTTATAAGAGTATTAGATAAGAAAAACGATAAATAGTATTATTAAATAATAATTATATGGATGTTACTACTTAATATGATGATATTTATGGAGAGAATGGTGAACTGAATACCGGGAAAAAGAAAATGATGAAAGAAGTAGCATCCTACGAAAAACCTGTAGGTGTCATTGGCTTAAAAGGAACTTGAAGAAGTTTAAATTACTGTCAGCTGTGCGATAGCTATTATGTTTTAATGCAATTAACCCACGATAATCTCTGCATTATTACCACATGGCAATATCAAAATGAATTACTCCTAAATCTTCTTCAATGTTTTTTCTTACCATATGGCAACGAATTATCAGTAGCACAATAAGTTTGGTAAAATTTGTCGCATCTATAATATTTAAAAAAAGCTTATCAAAGATATAATATCATTTTTTTACAATTCTTTTTCTGTTTTTCTTTATTCTATAACGTGGAATTTATTTCTATTAATGTATATGCATTAAATATATACATAATTTTTTTCTCATGTAGTGTTAATATGTGTAATCCATTACTATTTTTGTAATTGTTATAGATTTAGGCTTCAAGACAGCATCATGCTGGT